TAATCCTGAAACAAATTGACTATTTACTTCTATGTCATTATTCTGTTCCAAGTAACTATATAGAATTTGGATGCTTTATAAAGCAATTTTATTCGATATTGGTCAGATCAATTTCTTACTGTCATAATATCGTCACTATTAATATTGATACGATCGATAATTGGATTTCCATAGGTCGGTCAACTTCAGTTATTACATTCTCTAAATTGTCTATCCTGTCATGACATCTATAATGTGACTACTAAATTGGTAACAAATTTTGTCAATCTTTATACAAATCACGTGAATCCGACTTAGTATTAGCGAGAGTCAGTTACTATTATCTCTGTATCTGGCTGGAGAGGTTGCCCGACTTACAGCTTAACGAGAGTTTAAATTTTAAATAGGCTGAGAGCTTTTGTCCGACTTATCGAGTTTCACTATGTACATCATGGGAATCGAGTCGATGTGATTAAGTAATCATTAGATATGAAGAGTCAAAGTCAACTGTCGCTGAGCAAATGTTTAACAGTTAGAACAACAGTCGAATCTTCGATCCTTTACTCACACGCATTCTCTCTGTCTGAGCGTTTAATAGGTGATGAAACGATTAGAAAGCTTCTTCAACCAAGTAATAATTTGCATCTGGTATCTCATACTAAAATGATGGTAACATAACCTCTTATAACGTGGGTCGCTGTGTCGGTTACTGGGTGTCTCTTGGTCTTGCGCCGATGGTTATATAATGGAGCTATTCAATTACGCATAACTTCGTAATGAACAATTCGCTTTTTCTGACCTACTAATCTGCGAATGCATATTAAACGGTCGAAACTACTTATATCCCCGTTTTCACGTACGAAAGCAAAGCCATTACATTTTAAAGAATGTATAGCAAAGCAGTTCACATTAAACTTGCAAAGTCATCATTGGAGGGTGGCTATTTGGAACTGACGGGAAATTGAGGAGAAAACTGGCCACCCGGAAAGCACAATACATGATGCAATAGAAAAATATCGTGAACTGGTAAACCATCAATGTTAACAGATAGCGTCTCGAAAGTATTGTCCGATCTAATCGTCCATAATCACGCAAGACACGTGGCAACTTTGGTGGAAAAGATATTTTTAAACATTTGCGTCATCACGCTTAATTTCTCTACCTTCGGTTACGTGAAACGGGGTATAAATAATCTCGCAGGTTTGTAGGTCAGAAAAAGCATAAAACTACAGTTAAAATTGTATGGCGTTCGAATCGTTCATTGTGAAGTATGCGCAACTAACGAAAAAAGGGCGGGAATTTTACAGCTGTCGATGTTCATGCAGATCGATTTTTTATGCCATATATAGGAGTTCGGTTGCACATGTTGGTTTGTTTCTAATCACGTCTAATGGCAGCTCTTGTGAGAAACTTACGAGTTAGAAACAGTCTCGCTCCCCTACTTCGAAGTGTATTGGGTGATGGCCTGCCCTCGACAGTGGTTCGTAAAACGTGCCTATATGTATTATCTAAAGATGAAATAATTGCTTTAACAGGGTTTATTATTTTAGACACGTTCTACCTATGCGCTACATAGGCTTGGCTATGCTACAACAGCAGTCGGAAATACTGAAGATAAGCAAGAGATCGAATTATATCCCCAAAAGCAACCGCAGACACAATCGTTAGTTCCACCTGGTTTCAATACTCCTGCTATACCGGCTGAAGGGGAGGGAAACGACGTTTCAGATGCTAGTAAAGATTGGTCAAAGTCTTTTTATGGATTATCTGATGAAGCCTTTCCCAAGGAGACGAGAGATATATTGTTGGCGCCATTAGATCATATGGACATTGAATGTAAACCTGGTAAATTGAATATAGCCGATTATATATATTGTCTGTTAGATTCGTTATTCACATTAAACCGAGGTTCTTGATTAATTAAGATGGAATGATTTACTTGCCCGAGATCAAATATCGTCGCGTGCTTAATAAGGCATTTGGTCCTGGAGGTATGTATTGTCATTCATAGTCTTTTCGTGTAGGATCCTAGAGTCACGATAAACATATTGCATACAGGGTGGGGCCTTGCGCCGCGTGGAGAAACTTCTGTCGGTCCAAGGACAATCTCACGTGAATATGCACTAGTTTGTTTGGGACGGTATGTCAAGCAATTTTCGGATTGTACGCATCATTTGATCAAAACATAATTGCCTTTTTCAATAAGGCTAGTGTCTTTGGCTCGCGGAGAATCAGAATATTTTGATCCCTCAGGACTTGCTACAGCGGCCGAGTCAACAAAAAGTAACGCTTTGATGAGATGTTGCAAAGATTTGGGAATCGCATCGGAATTATGGTAGAGTACTTATCTATTACTTGATAATTATAAGAGGGTATATTTTTAACGTTCATAATAAAATGCCGTATCGTTACGATTATATTTTTAGGGATCCCCGATTTATCCGTGAATTCAAAAAGAATTACTGCGAGGAAGTATTTGTAGAGTACATTCCGCATAAGAAGAAGAAAAAGATTTGGAAGAGAAGAGATAATCCGATCGAATACCCGTACGCCAGAGTTTGAGGCGATTTCTCGAGTTGTTGGGTCAAAACTGTTGGTTTTTTATATCTTATTTGGAAGAGTTGCCGCTACGGCTTTGTTCATAAAAAAAATTCAGTATTGATGTAATTCAGCACAGTTTCAGTACAGCAAAAACCGTCTATCAATACAATCTTTGCATTCCATACTTCAACAGTTGTGAATAATTGGGTTATATCGAGAATGTGAATGGAATTTAAGCGAGCTATAAGCTTTTATTTTTAATGAATTAATATATCACTTAAAATAACTATTAAATTAATGTTTCTGTGTAAGAATCGTCTATATTGATATTCATATAAACACGAGACACACCTGTACGTTATTCCCACCCAAAGTTCTCAACCCAAACTTGCTACTTACAAGCCTCTAACAAAATCATCAAAGACCGAGAATTCTATAGGATTAGGTCTTTGTTAACCTTTGATGTTACCGGATCAATATGGAATTCCTAGCAATTATGACATGAATATTAGTATCGATTGAAACCAATGATTAACCCTCAATACAATGTGAACTTACCATTTGTTGCTTTCTGGAAGTAGTCGTAAAACACGGTTCGTCTGTTCTCGAATGATTGGAATATCCTTTCCATCATAAATTCTGCGGCAGCGCGCTCTGTCCTGTCCAACTGGAACCGTTGTTGCAATCTCTTGAGAGTCGATTCGCCCTTGAAACAAGGAAGGCCTGAACCAAGCATTAATGCAACACATTGTGTTATCTGTTCAGCGTATGGCCTAAAGAAGATGTACGTAAGAGATCAGTGAAAATCGAGAGCAGTCAACGCATCCATCACTCCATCACCACATACCTTAAGGCCAGGTATGCTTTGATACATAGCTCTGAGAACCATTGGAATGGTTGAACTCCTGCACCACCTCCCATCACTTGAATCATTTCTGTTGTAAGTTTGAATGGCGAACTCTCAAATTTGATGCCACCGGGCGAAATATCAAGAATAAATCCAAAGTCTATAAGTAAATATGTTCGCGGTCGTTAGCGGTATTGTAGTAATATGCTTGTAAGACTGTAGGGTTAATCAACATACCAATGTGAATTATGTGTCCATCATCGTCTAACATTATATTGCCATTGTGTCTATCTGATATCTGCAAAATATACGAAACAACCGAGTACGCGGCTGCACTCTGAATAAAACAGTTCCTGGCCTAACAAACGATATTAGTTAATATTCATACTTTAACAATACCGATATCGTACAGTGTGTAAAGTACCTTTTGAAATTCCAATGAATCCAATCCACCATATCTTGTAAGGAAATATCTAAATCAAAGCGCAAAGATAAGAGTCAGAACAACTTCCTCTACCAAATCATCGGCAACAATAGTAAGAACACCTACGTATATAAGTCGTTGACCTTCTGCGTCCCCACTTGGGCTCTCGACAATGCTTTTGGTATAACATCAATGACTCCACACTTGTCAAAGTAGTAAAATTTAAATTAACTAAAGCGAGACAAGCTTAAATATATACATCGAAATTAACTTACTCCAGGTGCCGTTGCAACAACTTTATATGGATAAAGATATAAATCAAGTCCAATGCTAGTAAATATATTTTTAAATATAGCAATCAGCTGAAGAGCCAACACGTCTTGACGGCAGTCATCTCCAACTTTGAAGATAGCAGACTGCCACACATCAATAGTTTTGAGTTCGTCGTCTGGGTTTTCATCCATATCGGTGCGATTACTAAACTCTTCTGTGACCTCTTCAGATTCATGCAGAGTTTTCCTTATCTTAAAGGTTGCCAGAAACGGTGCCTGAAATTTTCGAATCACACCCATGAGCTTTTATATAGCAAAGACAACTCAATAAATTATCAAATATTTATCGTCCGGAATATCTCACTTTTGCATGACTTTGCAAAGGTTTTCCTGAATTATAGTCAATACCAACAACGATCCCCTCGGGATTACTGGGAAGGTAAACACCAACATCTACAATAATCTTTTTCATTTCTTCGTCTATCTTTGCCTTTTTCTCCTCAGTTTTCTTGCCTATGTATGGCTTCAACTTGCCAGAAATCGAAGTAACACCTTCAAAGAATTTAAATTCTCTTTCGTAAAAGACTTTGTCTTCTCCAGACAAGGATTCCACAATATTTACAATAACACGATCCAGCGCGGGTTTAAGTGAGTCAGGCTGACGGGGAGGAAAAAATAAAGTATAATGGTTTTAGCCTTTTGTATAAGCGGAAATCATCTTACAAATACATACCATTGAGCATTCTTCATCTTTGAACATATTGGCCTTCATGTTCCAAATTATTTGATGTGCAAACAGTTGAGAAATCTTTGCTGATTCCATTATAAATCTTTCGACATATCCTACGGAAGGTTTTGCATCAGTATCCCTTCGCTAAATTTCGTTACCGCATTTTATGAACGTTCTGCACGCTTACCATACGTATCACTTCTTAATGCTTGAACTATCTGCGGTATATAGAAAAAGACCACATCCACCGGATGATATTCGAGCGAGCGCATGGCATATTGCAATACCAATGGGTGATTGTTGTAATTTGGTGAAAAGTATGTGACTGCTGTAACCGGAGGCACTGGCTTCCAATATAACAAATACTGGAACAAAATTATTAATACCATCTCGTCATTATTGCTGCTACAGATTAATACTAACGATATCTTACTTTGAGCTGCGACGATAAACTTTCATCTAGCTTCTTGCCAAGCAAGAGTGGAAGCGCCTCAGCAACTGCAACAGCTTCATGGGATTGAGAGCGCAAAAGTTCCAACACAGTATTTTGCACGACTGACATCTTAAACCTTGCAGAAAGTTGGATTGGGAGGCTAGGTGATATGAACCATGCATATCGAATTGCTCGTTTCCAATTCTCCTGTAATGTTTACCGGCATTGATTAATAAATTTGACAAACAAACAATAATCTCAAGTTCTCGATTACCTCTGTCGTGTTTTGTCCCATTAAAGGGAGAGCCGTTTCCTTTAGTTGATATTGGACATTGACGGTATTCGTCCAGACGCCCACTCGAGATATCTCACTCTCAAGGAATAAAAGCAGCAAGTTCTTTGCATCGACCGACTGTTTTAGAATGTCACTGCGAGATTTATCTACAGAGTTTAAAATGTAATTAGGTAACCAAAGACGTTTCTATGAATAAAAACTCTGGCTTGCAATGATAAATTATCAATTCTACTTAATTACCGCCAATGTACAAGGTACCATCGTTTAAAGCAGTCTTAATGGACTTCTTGGAAGCACTCGACAAAATAATATCAAGACAAGCCTTATCAGTCTCAACGAGTCTGTAAAGCTCAAGCATAAGCTTGTATTCTATGATTGCTGCACGCTTGTTGGCACCATAACCCCATCTAAAGAAAACATTTAATTGTTAGTAATAGTTTTCGCATCTCTTTCGTAAATTACACATTATATGTTTCCGACCTTGGTGGAAAGGTAAACCAAGAAAACGCTGTTTTATATAATCTTTCTCTCATTTGGTATTCAATTAATGCTTCCATCCTAGTTGACTGCAAAACCTTGAATCCGAGTACTAAAATTTCGAACCGACATTCCCGTGATAGAGGATGGTTGCTATAAATAATTGTCAGCCGTTAGTTTCTCACAGAAAAGAAAGAAACATGGCCGCCTCTATTTCAGGCATTTACCTCATAGAATCGTATTCGTCAAGAGTAATCTCAAGAAGTCTTAAATAAGTATCTGTTAATTCAGGGCTTCGGTATCGAATTGACTGAAATCGAACACTAAGAAACTGGACCCAAATAAGATGAGGCCTGAATAAGAAGTTTGCCTTTTGACAAACTTTATTCCTGGTATCCTTGTCAGATGGAGCATATTCCATCTTGTTCACAAACGGGTCCCTAAATCTATAATCAATTGCACAAATTAGCAGACCAGAACGAATCTCACTGAACATTATTGAAAAGGGTACTTACTCTAACGCAGATGAAAAAAGCCCTTTGTGTTGCCTCACACTCCACACCCATGCAATAACAATCTCTAACATGATTCTTTTTTCTATTTCCGGTTTCTCGTTAATTACCCAATTCCATATCGAAATACCAATTTTCAAAGACCCTGGACAGAATATACAAACAGGAATCCATACAAGGTGGCTTATTATGTTTTCGTCAACCTGAGTGTTTACAAGAAGTTGGTTAGTAAATAAAATAATATATCATTCACACAGTCACAAATTACCTGCGATGATGCAATTAAAATTTCGGCTGCAAAATGCAATTTACTGCTGAGCTCCTTTAAAGAAATGCGCGCATGTTTACGAGCATTTGCTTCCAATTTCCCAAGTGTCTCTCGTGCTTTATTGAGTTGCCTATCAATTACTTGGTCGGAAATTCCGTTTATCATCTTGTTTATCATCTTTTCACTCTGCAAATCTATAGTAGAAATGAAGTTATAATTGAATTCGTAACAGTAAACACAAGACAAGCAACATACCTCCATCATCAATAACGTTAAACCAATGGTAGGCCTCTGCTACTTGACCCCGATAACGTCTCCTCATAGAATAATCAGTTATAAACTCAGATGCAACATCCAGTACGGCTTCCGGTACTTGTGGAAATACACCTGTAATTGTAAATCAATGTTAGGCTCAAAGTTTACATTACGTTGATGAATTACTGTTCTATTATTATTAGAACAAAGTAGCAATATATACCTGTTTTGTAATCCGTATTGGAAAAGGATTTACCGATCTCCAAGGCGATAGAACGACCCATATGAACTGTACCCTCAAAATCGGATTCGGATAAATAGCCCTGCGTTGAATTAATGCTAATATAAGTTTTTTGAAAACGATTGTAGCCAAAAGTCTCTAATAAATGCAAGCTTATAAGCAACCTCTAAAATTCCTTTGAGATCCGAGCTATTGCATGCATTTGCTGCTTTCAACCACTTTCTTCCATTCTCACACAACCGAGACAAGACTTCTCGCCGATACGCATATGAATCAGTAAATTCTATGGTAATTCCAAATTTGGGTATGCTGAACGTATATGTTGGGGAGTACTAAGAAGACATCAGCACATTCGTTAGTATTTTGAGAAAGTCAGATATAAAGATATCAGACATTTACCTCATTAATGTTTTCCGCATCACAGCTTTTCCACAACAACTCGATCAATTCCAATAGCAAATAAACTAGTTTCTTGTTACACAAAAGTGGTTGAAAAGATGTAAACAGCAAATCAAGGTATTTGATGGCCAATTTGTGAACTTTTTGAAAGCGGTGACATGAAGCAATCATCAGATTGCACACTTGTTCTTGAAGGTCGTCGTCAACAGTATGAGCCAGAACTCTATTATTACACTCGTTGATGAAAACTTGCATAACCTGATATTTATAATAATAAGTTATTTAGCAGAGCTAATTACGCTACATTATTGGTAAGTAATATCTATAGCTTTACCTGATCAGCAATCTCCTCCATGCAGTGAACAAGCTTGCTGGTGTTTACACCTTGATTAACGAAATACCTCGTAAGAAACGAGAACTGTCCTTTCTGAGCACGCATGGTTTCGATATGGTAGACAGAAAGCAAAAATGTAATCTGCGCAAACGAATAATTCCGAATCTCATATGCATGTTCAGGGAGAAATCCAGACAACAGGGCACGTAAATTTACCAAATCCTAAAAACGACAAAAATGTCAGGTTTAAGATTAAAACAGCATTTTCCAAGTTGCAACTTTCTGCTGATCGTTTACCTGTTCAGAGTAACCTCTTACTAACACAGAATTGTATTCTAAATCATATTCCAAATAATTTGTTGCACTTTCCAGCACCAATGGGGGAGTCTTTTGGGCAATGATAACCAATGAATCACACCATTCACGCATCCATGTAGTTTCGGATACGAAGCCATAGAGGACGCAGTGGAACCAAACATTTCGAAACAAACTAACAAGATCCTCCGACGGATTCAAGTGCGCTATAAAGTCACGATGTGACAAGAGTGTTGAGAGTATGGGGAGTAGTATGCCTAATTCCGCTGCAAGCGATGTTACTTGGACCCTTCCATGCTCTGCCACAGTTTTTTGGATAACCACTCCTTTTTCAACGAATAGTTCCAATATTTTGGTTAAATAAAAATCATAGAATTCTGGACGCGCACTGATTCTATTGGCCAGCTCGTGTTGACATTTCAAAACCTGTTCGAAAAAGTCAAGAATAATACGCGTGAGATAGATAGTTTGTTCAGGCAGCAAAACAATTCAGACGAAAATACTCACAGCTGTAGTAATAATTTTGTTCTTTGGTGAGAGTGATTGCATGCTAATTGTTGAAAAGTGCTGCAATATGTCTTCAAACACTTTCCTCGGTGCTATTAATGCAATATTCACCAGATTTTCAAGAATAATAACATCAATTGCAGGGGCATGGTTGCGAATCCGTTGTCGTAAGATTGGCTCAGCAAGAGACGTGATCTAAAAACATTGAATGAATTGTAACAGTAAATCTGTGTTCCTCCAAAACGTCGAAACTGACATATGATGTTTACCTTATCGATTTGCAATATACAAGTAATACCAGCGATAGTACAGACAAGGTTTTCGCAGACTTGGAGCTTTTGCTCTTCCGTGCCTGATGTTGAACTGTTTATGGAAATATGATCGGCAGGAACGTTCCTTGAGGGTGAGCGATCATAGCCCCTAGCTACAAGCATATTTTGTAATTCATATATCATAGATACAATTTGATTTTCGTCGTTCGTGGCCTATATAAATAGCGATAACTAAACTTAATAGTGACCGTGTGTATAGTTCGTTTGCTAACCAAATATAGATTGTTTCTTGAATCTGAAAATAACAACGGGTTCTCTCATCAAACGTACTCTCAGACAATCCGCGAGTCTCCGGATCGCATATCGTTGAATCGTAAGATTATCAGCAGCCGTTGTCGCCAGCTCGAAAATTGTTGATGGAGTGGTGAGAAATTTCTTAATAAGTTGAATCGTTGTTGAAGCATACTTTTGCGGAAAACTAAATTAATCAGAGCATTTATATTCGGTGAGTACGCATGATATTAGATAAATAATTTAACAAACACCAAAAGTAATTACTTCAATGATATCAATGCTGCAGCATCTAAGGCAGCCGTCTGAACTTTCACGTCTGGTGTTTGTGGAGTAATAAATAAGGTGCGGGATATTTTTGTATTTAAGTCATAGTCAACTTCATGTAGACATACGCCAGCGACAGCCGCCAATTTCTAAAAAAGAAACAGAAACGTTAACCTCCCTATAGAAGTAGTTGATACGACACATATATAAAAATAAACTTACTAAGCTTGCTGCCATTATCTCTATGACGGATTTCGCAGTTGGAACATCCTTTCCTTGTGCCATTAACTTCTCTAACTCGGTATAATATTGAAGTGCCATGACATATGTTCCCCTAAGAACGTTTTTTGTTTTTTCATCCAGAGTCCAATTGACATTCATTCCAGAGCTCACCAAAGCTGTCCATACTTGATCAGGCCCCATAATTACAACTTCATTGTTACTTGTAATGAGCAAAATTCTAGCCAACATATTTTGCATCAGCTGTAATACATTAAGTACCAGTCCATTACTTGAAAGAAGTATATGTGAATTAGAATATCGAAATAATACTTTCTTGGCATAGTAATCGCTATCATCATTAGATTTCAAGATTTTTTCTATTATTCCACTGATATGCTGTATGAGTTCGTTTGAGAGGAGCGATAGTGACAAATTGTTTATAGCTTCAAAGTCAGCAAGTGTCCATTCGAGTGACGAGATTTGTAGCGATCTCAACGTTCCATTTATAAGAGGAAGAACTGTAATCGCCAAATTTGCAACATCTGTACGAATTGAAGAATTAACATAAGATATTAAAGTTACAACTTAGACGTAGCATGCAGGAACAATAACCTGTTTACCATCTTCGCTTTGCAAAAGATTAACAAGACGTTCAGTGAGATTCAAAATTGCTCCAACAATTTCCTCCCGTGTGTCAGGGAAATTCCGAGCAACATTTAGCAACTCCCCAATCAATCTTCCCGCAAGTTCGTCAGGTGGACACAGATCTATTTGAACAAAAAGAGTTTATGGGTAACTCCTGGAATATCGATTCGAATAAATAACCACAAAATTGGTCACCTTTCCATTTCAAAGTCTCTTCAAATTTGAAATGTGGAAGATTTTGAAGATATTTTAACAAAAGAACCAGTATACGTTCAACATGCAACTTGTTGTTTGTGGATGCAGCAAATGATGATAGGGCAATTATGCCATCTTGATATGGTTGTATCTGCATGATTAAACATTAAGAGATTAGTGAGTACCATCGATCTAGGATACAAATGGCGTAAAATACAATGAATGCCCAGCCACCATAAGTCCAAGTGAAGATTCTGAAAGAACAGGACATCTTGCAATCAAGTGATCTATTTCTTCATCTGATGTATTTTGATTTGAACTCAACACTTTGGACAGCTTATCCAGAATCAAACTGTGCAAATCGAATTCGATGCTGTTAATGGAGTAGAAGTTAATTTTTTGTAATAAACAATATCTGCTAAGTAATTATCTCATAACTACCTGTCCATGTTATTATTTCTATTACCGACAAAACGTGGCCCCAATTAAATAAATGACCAACGACTAAAAAGAGTTGGTGCGATCATTTTATACCATTTCGGCAAAATTTAATGTGACTCGTGACACATGCTAGCCACATACGGTGTCACGCTATCTCACGTGAGCTACTGGACAACACTTAAAATAATATATTGGAGTACATACTATTACTATCAACCACACGGTACCGGCCAATTTTGCTGCGAAGATGGATAAATCGAAGATTTCGTTGTTTCGAAGTTTTTTGCCAGAACCAATTTAGTTATTTTGCGATAATCCGAAGTTTTATAATAAAACCCGTTAATCTGTAATCCGAATATATTCTTCTGCCGCCATTAATATTAATATTAATTAAAATGTTGCGTTTAATATTAAACCGAATTTTTCAGTTAATCCGAAGATTTAATCCGAAGATTTTTCATTAATATTAATCCGAATTCTGCTAATCGTTAAATCAATTTAGTCCCAGTCGAAAATACTTACATTAACACCAATCTTATCGTAACAAAAGCTAATAAATACATTAATCGTTGACATTCTTACGAATAATAATGCAGCAAGCAACCATTCAACCCAACAACAAACGTAAACGGAAATTAGTACTCGTTGGCCAGCAAAAGATGCTGATCCACATCTCTCAAACGTTAAACTTGCCAGTCAGTTTGGCATTGGAGAATCGACAGTACATGACATACTGAAACGGAAGGATGAACTACTCAGTAAGAATCTCAATTCCTACACTGCTAACCTTAGAAGGGAACGAATACCAAAATTCCACAAATCGAACAAGCTTTAGCATTATGGCTTAATCAAGCAAATGCCTCGAATCTGTCTATTTCTGGTAATATTTTGCTTCGTAAGGCAGCTGACTTCGCTCGGCTTTTAAACATTGAGGAACTCCGTCTCGTTTCAAAAAACGATATAACATTCGGTACGGTATATTACAAAATGTGGTGGAGCGAACAGCGCACCTTTACAAGATCTTGTCGTGCCGACTACTGCGGGAGAGCAGAAAGTAATCGACACTTGGGATTTAACCAGTCTCGACGGAGCGTGGCTGCCTCCTATTCAAGTTAAATGTCTAGGGTACAGTTAGTGACCTTGTCAATGTCAAGG